ACAAACCACTAAAAAGTGTTATTTCTCAACGGATGACAGAATGAGAGATGTATTTTAATGATAGTCCTAAAATGAATATAACATTTTGTCTAAGCCAAACTCAGGACAAGAGAGAAAAAAAGCAGCAAAGCTAAGCTGAAGAAAAATGCTTCTCTCTCCATCAAGAACCTTAAACCAAAAAGCTGATCTGCTCATACCTCCAGGCCTTAGACTGGTCCTCACAAAAATGGGCAACACAAACAGTAACACACATACAAGGCTGTGATCCAAACAAAAATCTTGGACCCTGTTCCAGAAAAAGTATTATAGTCCTTCTGGGATCACTATGTAACACAAACTATGGCAACTAAGAATTGACAGGCAAACACAAATATGGCCAGACAAATGCACGGCCCATTCATAGTGCAGATCTTACACTCACACAAACACACACAATACCAAAGGAGTATCACACTATCCTAATATGGCTCGGGATTTCTCAGTGTATGTGTGTGTGTGTGTATGATTAGCACATTAAAGGCTTTAACACTGATATTACTTTAGCTGAATAGAAAATAGCGCACTCTGTAGCCTATATTTGTACTGAAAATAAAAAAGTGGCAGACAGTTCAGTATATCTGATAAGTTCTGTTTTTAGAATATGATTGAAGTACTAAACATAAACACTAGTTTTGTCACATCAAAAATAATCACAAAACAAACAGAAGACTATTGGTTTGGACACAACAATGCATCCAGCTTAAACCACCAGGTTGCGATGAAGCAAACGTTTCACAAATCACAAAATAAAAGCTTATGAAATGGCAAATATTATAGTGTAAAATATATAGTGTAAAATATTCCAGTCTAGGTTAGATCAGTCCACATCCCAGCGTTTGTGATTTACATAAAATGTGAAGCATTAATAAAATATTTCCAAACCTTCTTCTCTTGAATTGTGTTAGAAAGACGAGAAAACCTGGTTGGAAAACAGCCCACGGCCTTAAAGGAATAGTACACCCAAAACATGATTAGCCTTCATTTTCTACTCACCCCCATGCTGAACAACACCCTGGAGTACTTTTTTGATATCTAAAATGCATCTGGAGATCTGGGAGGCTTCTTGCTGTCTGCTGACATTCAAATAATGGAGGTCTATGGTGCCCGAGACAGAAAGGTCCATAAAAGTCTACAAAAAACGTGTCAATATTCCTCCATACTGGTCGTCCAATGTATTCCAAGTGTCCTGAGTGGGTAGCATCCAGAATTTACTCGAAACGAAGTCATTTAGAATGTTTTTAGAGCATAAACAGTAGTGTATAGGATTTCCTGAAAGCGCGCACATGCGCGATCACGACGCTACGGAAGCCGGCAGACCAAACCAGATGAAAGTGCGCATTCAGCGTCTGCTCTTCCAATAATGCAAGCGTAGAAGAAGAAATGTGCCGTTTACCTGTGCAAAGAAAGAAACAACGAAAGAAAAATGTCTGAGGACTTCAGTGTTGAGGAAGAGCATGAGTTCTTTGCCGAGCTGAATGCGCTGGTTTGGTCTGCCGGCTTCCGTAGCGTCGTGATCGCGCATGTGCCTCGGGCGCTGGGCACCTCCATTATTTGAATGTCAGCAGACAGCAAGAAGCCTCCCAGATCTCCAGATGCATTTGAGATATCAAAAAAGTACTCCAGAGTGTTGTTCAGCATGGGGGTGAGTAGAAAATGAAGGCTAATCATGTTTTGGGTGTACTATTCCTTTAATACTACTTTGCTAAAACACCTTCTCATTAATTTTCAGTATTCAATCTCGAGTTCCCATCCTTGGTTTAAGTCAATTTATCTGATGTGTAGTTCATCTCTTTATGGCAGGATGTTCCTGTCCGTTTGCATTCCTTTGACAAAAAACAGTTGACAAAGATGTAACAAAAGATTAAGAAGGATCTCATCGTACAAAGGTATGAAGATATTAATAGGTTCCAACATTACTTTCATAGCATGGAGGACTTAGTAACAGGGATCAGTGATCATCCGATGCCTGTCAGAAACTGTGTGACAACAGTGGCCTTTCAAACCCTGGGCATTGAACCATAGAGAAGATAACACTTAATGGGATCATGGAGGCTAAGCAACACTAAAGAAGCAGCAGGGAATTGAAAAAAGGACAGTGAGGGAATTTGGTGCTTATAAGCTTTCTACATACTTCGGTTCGACTCCCGACCCGTCAGGTTGGTGGGGGGAGTAATTAACCAGCGCTCTCCCCCATCCTCCTCCATGACTGAGGTACCCTGAGCATGGTACCGTCCCGCCACACTGCTCCCTTGGGGCGCCATTGAGGGCTGCCCCCTTGCACGGGTGAGGCATAAATGCAATTTCATGGTGTGCAGTGTTCACTTGTGTGTGCTGTGTCACAATGACAATGGGAGTTGGAGGAGTTTCCCAAAGGGCTTTCACTTTCATCTGTTTGCTTCTTATTTTATTTTCAACCATAAAATGAAAACAACATAAATAATTTCCACAAACTCGCCGTCATTATTCTGTGGGTCGCATCTCAGCTCAGCATATGTGCAATCACATGAGTACTAAAACAAACCCAAACAGGTCTCACTATCTTTGCTGGGCCTTTTCATTGACTTCCATTCATTTCTGAAGCCTAACTGTGACCCTTGCCCTAACCATTACAGGTTCATACCTAATCCAACATAACCTCAAATCACAACTTAGTCCTTAACGTCCTAAAGGTCCAGGCATCGGGCCCTACAAGGGGAAGCTGGTTCCCAAAACATGCTATTTTCCCTGAAAATAGACACGGCAGGCTTAACTTAGTCCAAATGTCATCTGTAGTCAGGAACTACCACAAAACACGAACAGCTAAAGATGAAAGAAGATGTGGTAGAGCGCTACTTTGATCAGAGGCTGCTTCATAAACACCCCCAAACAGAAACCCACACTTAAGGCATGAGTGGAAGCAGGCATGTAGCTGGGGACAAACAAAAGGTGAAACAAAATTCAGTTTCACTGATCATAGGATGCCCGTAATCAAACTTTAGTGTTTCAAATACAGTAGACAAGGAAAGTATTCAGACCCCTTTAAATTTGTCACTCTTTGTTTAATTGCAGCCAAAAATGAACAGTATGGGAATTAAATATGTGTCACAGCAAAGGGTCTGAATACTTGTGAACTTTTGATATTTCTGTATTTTGATTACAAAATGGCTGCAATGAAACAAAGAGAAAAATTTGAAGGGGTTTGAAAACTTTCCGTACCCACTGTATCTGGAATTCTACCAAGTAGAGGGGTGCTGATACCACTATTCATGACTCACAAATCCAAAACAGTTGTTTATGATAATCTGTAGACATTTTGGAAGTCAATCAGTGATCATGATTTAAGTAAATCTTTTTAAATAAATAAGTAAATATTGGGGAAAAATCTTTGAGGTATAGATTTTAACAGCTGTTAGCAATGGCTATATTTTCTTATCTATAAAAGCTAGTCAGATATTATTGGTAAAGATAAATCCAAGACAAAAAAAGGACATCAAAAAACTGTAAAATCTCCTAGCCTCATCATGGTTGCGAGTTGTCAGGGCAAAACCTTCAGGAGGACAGAGCATGGTAAGCCAAAGCAGCTCATCAATCTTTTATTTTCAAATGTAGCAGGATAGTGGACATTTTACCCAAATACTGATACATGATAATTAGACTTGGACAACTTTCTGTGTGCACTTTGTGTATACAAAAAAAATTATAATAATAATTTTGTACACCTGTAATGATATTTCGATTTGTTAAAGTGCAGCAGTGATAAAATGTAAACAGTGTGGGTTTGATCCACACTGTTTTATAACTGAATTATACACAGATGTTTATAATTTTCGTAATTAAAGTCTTAGGGAAATGACCGTTCCAACCTTTGCAGTTCGAAATTCTCCCGAGTGGTGCACGACTTTACACGAGTGAATAAAATTTATTTGATTGGTCGTTTATCAAAAGGACCGGATTGTTGTGGCAGAAGTTCGCAAGCAAGTTTGATTGTGGCTGGTTTCTCTGAAGCATTGCTGCTAACTAATTAGCAACTTAGTGCTAGTAGGTTCCCAATGGGAAATTACATTGGTACCAAGTAGCACTAAATTGGTGACTTAGCAATGAACCTTTAAGGAACGCAATGGACAGCTGAAACAGGCAAGAGGAGGAGAGTTTTGTGTCGGAGGTCGTGAATGAGTCTCCTCCGTCATACATTTTTTATTTAGAAGGAGGAAAGCGGGGACAAAGATGTTTTGGAAGAGGAAGCCAGGGAGGAGAAGCTTCTTTTGTGGTAGATGGCTTAAAGCCATACATGTTTGAGCCCTTGCAACACTGCCAATTATGTTAGCTCTACGCCTGCCGAAGACACAGACGTCCATCCCCATGAACACCGGGCTGTAACTCAATAGTAAAGCAACAAAGAATAAATTATTCTTATTTCAACCATTGCATATATTAGCTGCAAAATATGAATCCAGATGCTATGACCAAAAAAATTGATTGACAGATTACCCCTGATATTTTTTAGGTGTTCAGGCTGACGTATAACTAAACTGGCCTCGCAGAAGATAACGAAAACCCCCCCGAGATTTTAAGACAGAGTTTTTGGACAATATCATCTGATAGAGTACATTTTTTATACATTTACATTATACATTTAAGCCAGAATGATTTCCCTACGACTTTAAGAAAATTAACCCCTGAGTCAAATCTTTGCCCCAAATGTCACACAGCCACATTTGAATAGGCCCAGTATCAAAGCATAACTGTAAGACAAAATAGGGCATCTTATATAAAGATATACTCTCATTATATCCTTCTCTAAATATCTTGATGCATTGCCCAGGCCTTTTGAATTTAAGATAGCAATCTTTTTTTATCCAAACAAGTACATGTTTGGATTTTTACTGCCTCGAGGAGAAAAACAATCGAAGAAGTACAGCATAGTTGACTCTCCTGGACAGATGTGTGTGAATTGACCAGTAAACAGAAAAAATGTGTCTCACCCAGGCTGTGCATGCCTCCATCGCCATGTCTATGATGTACGTGTGATGCCTGTGAGAGGAGGGAGTGGTCTAGAGAGGAAGGAGGAGGTGAGCATGTGAGTGAGGGTGGGGCTACAACCAGAAGGTGGGAGGTGATCAAATGGAAGGGATGCCAGGTTCGTACGAATTTCAGGAAGGTGGGAGGGGTGCAAAGGACAAGAACAGCAAGTTCATTCCACAAAAAAAACAAAACAAAAAAAAAACCCAGAAACAATGTCACCAAGGTCAGGCAATAAGTTTGGGAGAAAGTTGGTCGAAATCAATGGCACAATTAATAATTTAGTGACACAGGCAGGAAGGATTAAGTAATTTTGTGAGTTTAACATCAAAGGAATGCAGGAAACCCAGAAGAGGGAAAAACACAAAAATGACAAAGAGCACACACACAATAAAAAAAAAATCATTAGTGGCATTTCACTGATCACCCTGACATGCTGTTAGTATCATGTTAGCTTTATTAGCAGTTAGTCAGCTGGCAAACAGAACAAATCCATCCTTATCATAGAGATTAAGCAGAGAAATCAGAACTACAGATCTGAAATAAATATAAAAGCAGATTTGTTCTGCCTCATGCTAACCATCAAATTATTAACTTCATTGTGATTATGTGTACCCAATAAACAGATGGAGTCCAACACATTTCCAGTGCTTCAGTTATTCTAAAAACAAGAACCTGAGAATACTAAGCATATTTTTTTTCTGTAAGATCAATCAAAGTACCTGAGCGGGGCTTCAGCCCAAAAGGCGGACTGGATAGTGAAGGAGGTCCCATGCCTGGAGATCTGTCTTCCCGCTGCAACAACAGAAAGGAAGCATAGCTATGAAAAGTCAATCCTTAGAACATTTATAGAACAGACAGGTAATATTTTCTGAGATGTTCGAGCAAGTTACATAGACTCAAAAATGTCTCAAACAAAAAGCACAGAAACACAAACTTCTGCCATGAAGCTTTATCAACAGAACTTCAAAAACTGAAGTTAAAGGCAACTGCATAACTCCTTACACAGCTCTTCTCATCCTACCTTTAGTATTTTAACTCTCGAACAGGCAAATATAACTGTTTGCAGCACGTAGACATTTATAGCCATAGCTTTATCTTCAGTAATTCTCAGAAGAAACCAGTCTAAAGTAGCTTTGTGATAAACCAGTGATAAAGCAATGTTTAAATTATTGGGAGAAGTGTTTACAGGAATTGTTTTCACTAATCATAAGTCTTATACGGGTGTTATTTCTCTGCCCTGCCACTAGTAGGCAGTGTGTTTTTTTAAGTAGGTGCATAAATGTTGCTTTAAATAGGCTTCTTCAGTAGGTCATACAGCACACGTGAAAGGGTATCTAGCTACTTTTGTATTTTTTTTTTTTTTATTCAAGAAAAAAGCGATCTGAAAGGGGTAAATCATTATGAGAGTAAAATAAATGTATTGGAATTTTCTTTTGATAGAAAAAATCATATGTATTTGAGACTGCAGACAATGTCTTGAGAGAAAATTGACCTTTGGAAAATAATTTCCAGGAGCTTACAGCTGTGCTGATGGGTGGGGTTAAAAGTCTGTGAAGTTCAACAACACTTCTGCAACTGGGCAAGATGGCATGCATCGCATTTGTGTTATGTAAATAACCAAAATGCTCACATGTGCAATAGGCTGCCAGATGAAATGTGACACATATAAGGGAGCTAAGCCAGTTAAAAAATAAACAGCAAAAACAAAAACACAACAGTCAAATTACTAAGGAAGCTCAACTGAAGACAGTTGACTCTGATGGGCTGGACAGAGCCTACATCTAGAGGTCTGCTGCTACCGTTACCTTCATATGCCAACCATACTCCTGGCATGCAAGCCGGGCCTCATACTTGGCCTTCTCTAGAATCATCTGCCTCTTCTTCTGGAATTCATAGCCTTCCTCTTCCATGTGCTGCTACAGGACGCATAAAGCATTTAGGGAATAGGTGCTCTTGATTCCTAAAAGGTTTAAGACTTAACTCTAAATATTTGCATACTGCAATTTCCTTGTAAAAAGACAAGGCAGTTTTTAAAGAAATAGCCTGGCAGCAACTTAATAAGAATTGTAGAATGCAGAACTGAGCATAGAGGATATTTCTAAACACCAAACTTTTTTTTTCCTCACAAAAACATATTTAGCTTTGATAGAAGGGCTTAATTTCCGATAAAACGAAGTGAATTATCATCATCACGAAGGAATTTGAAAGTATGTTGAAAAACATACAGAAAATAAGAAATTATTTTCATCAAATAAAAACAAACAGCTCTAAGCCAGCTGCTTTTATGTAATAAATACATTTTATATCCACTGTGTTCTGTCTCAAGTTATTTAGGTACTATCAGTAGAAAGTAACACAATTGACAATACAAGCTGCTAGCTAGGCATGTGCAAGAAAGAATTGATCAGGATACTTGAAATCGATTGATATTAATTTAACAAACTGTACCTTTGGTGTTGAGCTGCCCTCATCTACGTCCTGTCCGCTAAAAAGAAACAAAGGAGACGAGACAAGAAATATTAAGATCTAAGAACATATTTACAAAATCAAAAAATTCAATTAAATTCAATTACAAAATATTTGATCAATCGCAAAGGAAAATAAAATGTTGCAGCAATTCTTTAGTTTTTTTTTTAAGGAGGTGTTGTAGGTGTTGATAGCCACTGGCAGGAAGGATCTTCTGTATCGGTCTGTCTTGCTCCAGATCTGGGAAAGTCTCATACTGAAGATACTCAGTTGTTTAAAAATTTTCTGAGAAGTATGGTAACTGTTGTACATAATATTCTTCACTTTTTGAGGAATTCTTATTCTTGAAATAATCTCCAGAGGTTCTAGAGGAGTTCTTTGAACAGAGGTGTCCTTCTTTATTAGCTTGTTGAGCTTTTTTTAAATCATTACCTCTAAAACCGTTACCCCAGCAGATGGTCGCAGAAGAGATCTCACTCTCCACAACAGAGGTAGGAGGTAGGCAGCATCTTGCTGCAAACACTGAAGGACCTAAGCTTCCTTAGGAAGTACAATCTGCTCCGTCCCTTCTTGTTGGCGGCTTCCCGTTTGTGTCTCCAGTCTTAATAGTTTTGAACTTGTTCTTGTTTCTTCTGAAATCTACAATTATCTCCCTTGTTTTGTTGACATTCATGATCACATGACTGTTTCTACAACATGCCACAAAACAGTTCTCCAGCCCTCTGTACTCGGCTTCTTGACCATTTTTGATGCAACCAATGACTGCAGAGTTATCTGAGTATTTCTGCAGATGATAGGGCTGTGTCTGGCACTGTAGGTCAGACATGTATAGAGTAAAAGGAAAGGAGAGAGCACCGTCCCCTGTGGTGCTCCTGTGCTGCTGTCTACTTGATTAGACAGTTGACCCTTCAGGCTAAAAAACTGTGGTCTTTTTATCAGGTAGTCTCTGATCAAGGTGATTGTTGATGCCTCTACCTGAGTCTTCTGAAGTTTCTCATGAGTAATTCAGGGTAAATTGTGTTAAAAGTAACAGAAGTAATGTGCCCAGAAAAGTGTCGGATTTTAACAATGTGAGGTTCTCCAGAAATACAGTAGTGCAGAGAATCGATGACTTATCAGCTAACTTGAAACTTGAGCTGAGAGACAACGCTTGTGATTTAGATTTGTACCCAATAGCTTGTGATGAGAGCACACGCAACACAGACAATGCACAGCTGTTAATTTTTTTGCGGGAAATAGATGATAACTCTTGCTGCACGGAGGAGCAGCTTGACATTATCATTTTGAACCAGTGTCGGTGGCAGTTGAGAAGATGGGGCTTAAGTGGGACCAGCTCTGGCGGGTAACAACAGATGAAGCTCCGGCCATGATGGGTGAGCGCAAAGGTATGGCATTGTTGGTGTGCGCCAGTGTAAAAGAGAGTGGACTTGAGACTGCTAGGATGTACTATATAATCCACCAAGAAGCACTGTATGCCCAGACTATCCAGCTGGGCGATGTTTGAATACTGTTATAAAAACTGTCAAAATAATTTGAGGTAGAGCACTGTACCACAAAGAATTTCAGATTTCCTATCTGATGTTGAAGCTGAATAGGGGGATGTACTCTACCATTCTCATGTGCACTGACTCAGCTGCGGCTCTGAGCTGCAGCAGTTTTATTTGCTGAGATCTGAAATCAACCAGTTTTAAAAAGAGAAGGGCCAACCGCCTCATGAGCTAAGTGACCCGGACAGGCTTGGCATCTTTACTTGATCTTATGCATCATCTGAATGCACTACACAAGAACATAGAATGTGCCTGTACACCTGTATGTGCACATAAAAGCCTTCTGCATAAAGCTCTGGCTGTTTGAGACACAACCAAAAGGCATAGATGCTGCATCATTCACTGTGCTGTCTGAAATCACCAAAGGAGAAATATGTGTATGTGACTGCATCTCTCGTGTTGAAATTCAACCAGCGTTTCCAATATTTTTCTCTCATTGAAAAACAAATCAAGCTGTTCTCCACCCCCTTCCTGGTGGATGCAGAGGAAGTGGAAGAGAGTCTACAGTTAGTACTAATTGAAATATAATTTGATAATTCTCTGAAGAGTCAACATCAGCTTCTCTCCCTCTCTGAATTCTATCACAGTTTGGATAAGGCCAAGTTTCCTCTGATGAGACTGCAAATAATTATTTGAGCACCTGTCTATCAGCTAGAATTCTGACACTCAAAGACATGTTAGTCTGCCTTCAAAATGTTCACCTCCACTTCACTTATTATCCTAAACTAGATGCACCTGTCTGAGGTCGTTAGCAGCATAAAGACACCTGTTCACCCTATACAATCAGTAAGACTCTAACATGGCCAAGGCCAAAGAGCTGTCCAAACAGACTAGAGACAAAATTGTACACCTGCACAAGGCTGGAAAGGTCTACGGCGAAATTGCTAAGCAGCTTGGTGAAAAAAGGTCCACCATTGGAACCATCAGTAGAAAATGGAAGATGCTACTGTAAACATGACTGTCAATCTCCCTCTTGCAAGACTTCCTTCAGTTAGACTAGAGCATTGAAGATGGGTCAAGGTTGGTCATTCCAACATAATAATGACCCGAAGCACACAGCCTGGATAACCAATGAGTGGTTCTGTAAGAAGCATATCAGGAAGCATGGCCTAGCAACTCTCCAGACTTAACCCCATAGAGAATCTTTAAAGGGAGATCAGACTCTGTGTTTCTTATTGACAGCCCAGAAACCAGACTGATCTAGAGAAGATCTGTGTTCAGGACTGGGCCAAAATCCCTCCTGCTATGGGCGCAAACCTGGTGAAAAACTACAGGAAACGTTTGACCTCTATAATTGCAAATAAAGGCTACTGTACCAAATATTAACATTGGTTTTCTCAGCTGTTCAGATATGTATTGATATCATTCAAATAAATAGTTAAAATATCATACATTGTTATTTCTGGATTAAAAAAAAATAATTGTTTTAGATTATGCCTCTCAAAGTGGACATGCACCTACGATGATAATTTCAGACTGCTCCAGGATTTCTAAATGGGAGAACTAGCAGGATGAAGGAACATAGCAGGGTGTTCAAAAACTTATTTTCCATAAGGTGCAACCAATCTTTTAGGCACAAAAAAAAATAATTAGTGAGAACAAAATGGAGATGAGGTGAAATTATTTTTTGATGCTTTTTACTGCTTTACGTTTTTTGTCAAATGGAAAGAAGAACAGCACAACCGAAGACGTCTATTTTAAAACCATGCTTTGTTTAAAAGAGTAGAATTACAAGAATTAAGAGTCTTACATTCTGTTGCTGAAAGTATTACACATGCAAATGAATACTTACTTATTAGATCAAGAGAAAAGAATCCCAAATGAGAAAAGGACAGACTGGATTTTCATATGGGTTATAACTCCTGCTATGTAGTTTAAAAAATAGCTAACGGGAGGGCAATGCATCTGTTTTCAGTAGATACTGGGGACTTAAAAAATTAACTAAAAAAAAAACAGATGGATAACCTGTAGAATTCAAATTGAACTACTCGTATCAATCTAGGAAGGCTCTTGTAGAAAGTGTTTGCAAAAAGGAGATACATTCAGTACAGACAATTCATCTTGCTTGCAAGGCAAGTAAAAAATATGCAAGTTGTTCTAATTAATTAAATAATTTTTCCTTGTACAAACTTACATTAAATATACATGTTCATTCATGTTTATTATCACATCACAATAAAATAAACCTTTTAATTGTTTAAAGTGTTAAACTACATTTATAATACAAAGTTTCAGCCTTGTAAAGAAATACAGAATATTCTAAAAACATTTACATTACCAGCGCCTAGCTGGTGAAAATAGAGACAGTTTTTTCGAAATATCTAAAATGTAACTTTATTCAGACCGATGTCTATTAACTAGGGGTGTGGGAAATAATCGTTTTGGCTATATATCGTGATATTCGGCTACCCAATATAATATCAATCTTTCACTTCTTAGTATCGATTTTCAAAAAAAAAAAAGGGTTACATAAAACATTGATTTAACTGTGCGTGCAGCACCAAAACTGTATTTGAGGCAGTCACAGTGGAAGAAAACCCCAAACAACATGGATAATAATACCTAATCGATATTTTCTGATGAAAATATACAGCACTTGCTGTTTTATCTCATCATTTGATTTTGATAGCTGGGGAAAATATGGCAATATATAGTGATACTGCAATATCGTGATAATATCGTATCGTGACCCAAGTATCGTGCCATGTATCGAATCGCAACACTCATGCCAATACTCACCTCTACTATTAACACGATAAAGTAGGGCTGGAACGAATGGAAACTTACTTGAAGGACTCTTCCACTGTGGCTATCTCCACAGGGTAAAGTTGGACATCCTCCTGCTCTGTGCTCACTCTGAAACATGAAGTTTAAAAAATTTGTTTAAATCCTGCTTATTGTACCTGCTGCTGTTTACAGAATTTGAAAAGAAAACAGGATTCTGTAGTAATTATAAAGTTTCCTTAATATTTAGGGGAGATTAAAGCTGCAGTCTGTTACATTGAGAAGAGAGCAGACTTCGACTGAAAATTTGAAGAAAAACAGGTTTCACGCCACTCCCCCACCCTCTCTGCTTCACTCATGCCCCACCTCCAAGCTCCACCCCTCTCACAGCATCTGCACGGCTACCGCATGCGACCAGAAGCGTCCAAGCAGCGTGTGCGGCATGGAGTGTGAACTGTTAAGAGCGATAACAGTCACCTCCAAGCAGCTAGAGGCAGGGATGTAAAAAGAGCAAATGTAAGAGGCAGTAAGGGCAGTTTCTCTTTCGCTGGTGGCTGTCGCTCCGCCATGACTTCCACGCGCGTCCTCCTGACTGCGGCAGCCGGGCAGCAGCGACAGGTTCAGCGGTGAGAGGGAGGGGGCGGGATTCAGCGTGTGTGAGCTGTGAATGACACTCCATCAGATGCTCCTCTGGCTGTGATTGGTTGTTTTGTCTCGTCCCGAAATATTCTTTCCAGATTGCAATACAGGCAGTAGGCGGGACCAATTGAAGCGGTTTTTCTCACAGGTTACATATCACATGTACTGCTGTCTGGGCATAGGGACAGTTTTAGCCCATATGACAAAAAAGTGATTTTTAAAAACTTACAGACTTCAGCTTTAACCTCCAGATGCTGTGTTCAAAGATTAATCTTTAAATCACACCTAAAACTAATCTTGAACACTGTTTTTGAATCTGAGTTAGTGTTAAAGTCTTCTGGGTTGGATTAACAGCAAGTTGAGGCTTCATTGCCCCCGTTTTCTCACCTGCTGGGGCTCTGCAGCAGCTCCACAGCTTCTTGTAGCTGGTTAATCATGTGAATTTGGAGCTCTGTGCCCCCCGAGACCTTAGACCTAAAACAAGAAAGTATAAAAGGGACATTTATATAAAAAATGTGTACAATGGATTCAAAAATTGTTGCAATGCATTAGGGGTGTAAATCACATCCATCATGGCGATTCGATTCAGTATCGATTTCCTGACCCAACGATTCGATTATTTTCGATACTTAAGAATACACCACGATTCGATTCGATTCGATTAATCGGTTAATTTTTTTTTTATTATTATTATTTTTTTTTTTTTTACACCTTACAGGCTAAACAAAGTTTCAAGTTTGAAATAAATCAATGAAAGCTGTAATATCGTTATGCATTTTCTTTAGAAACAACAGCAAATAACAGAAGTAGAAAAGTTGCATCAAAAAATACTGTAAAAATACTGCACAATATCAGTGTAATGAGTTCAATGCAATACCTCGGCTCCAGAGAAACTGTCCAACATATTTTTTTAGAATTTAATAAATATACTCAGGAAAGAGAGATGTTGTGTAGAGAGTTAGACAGGAATAAAAGTAAACTAGATATAAGGGAATTGTTTCAAAGGTCATCTGGGGATGTAGTTTTTGGTAGTATTTTTAATTTTCTAAGAAGAACGGGTATTTTAGGGAGAATATAATAGTTTGTCTGGTCCATACTCCATTCTGGAAGGTGGCGGTAATGCACCTATAAGTTGTTTGCCAACCGCCATTAAAAAAAAGAAGAAGAAGAAGAAGAAGGCTCCAGAGTGTTGACGTCACCGCCCCTTGAGAGACGCTCGCTGCTCCTCTCCCAGATTGTAGCTGACCGCAAACAGTGCAGCAGACAGGAGGCCGGCTTGTTTTGTTTTTATGACCGAAATTGCGGAAAACAACTCGTGAAGTTTGACCCGCTAGAAGAGCGAGGTGCGCGAGAACGCTGGGAGCCTTTTTCCAGCTGAATCTCCGCTCTTTTTTCCCTCCGTCGTCGGACTAAACTCGCCCCCACTTCCTCGCCGCCTCGGCCGTATCTAGACCCACAGTGTGTAGCTCAGACCACGCTTCAATATTGAGCATAATTTAGAAATGTCTGTGTGAAGCTTGCTGCAACAAACTGCTGTAAGAGTATAACCAGGAAGCGCGGTAGGAGGGCAAAATAAGTTTAGCGGCACCGCAGGGAGGGAGGAGAGTTACGCCCAGGAGCAAATGGATAAAAATAGACCGGAGGGAAAAAAAAAAACATTAATCGATTATCTTGCGGACGTGTCGATGCATCGGATCGTCGGCTTTTGGATCGATGCATCGATACAAAACGATTATTATTTACACCCCTACAATGCATGCATATTTATGTTTTTAGCCAAAGAGGTCTCTGTGAACTGTATAAAATAATCCCTAACACCATTTGTCCAATACTAGAACAATAATAAGTATTTATAATATATATTTGACTTGGAGAATGTATTCTTTGCAGTCAACCAGGAATGGCATTAAAATTAACAAACTTACGTTAAAAGCCTTCAGCTGACCCAAAATGCTGCAGCCAGAGTTCTCATGAAAATTAAAAAGAGATTATATCTCTCCTACCCTCACTTCTCTTCATAGGCTTCCTGTTAAATCAAGAATAATTTCAAATCCTCCTACACACATATAAACCCTTAAATGGCCAAGCTCCATCTTATATCAGAGGTATGATTGTTCCCTATGTCCCTAACAGAGCACTTCACTCTGAATCTGCAGGTTTACTGGTGGTTCCTAGAATCTCTAAAAAAATTAAATGGAAGCAGATCTTTTAGTTATCAGGCTCCTCTCCTGTGGAACCAACTACCAGTTTTAGTCCCTGAGGCAGACACCCTGTCTACGGGTTTAAAGGTAGGCTTAAAACTTTGCTTATTGATAAAGCTTATAGTTAGAGTGGCTCAGGTTATCCAATGCTATCTCTATAGTTATGCTTAGACTGCTGGAGGACGGGGACCCCCTTTTCATCATTCTACTTCATTCCATCTCTTTTCTCCCATTCTGCAGAATTTATTAGTTCAATCTCTAACATAAGGTTCTATCTGCTTTTTCACATAGCAGCTTCATCCGGTCTGTTCCTGTTTGGCTGTGACGCCATCCTGAAGAGAACTATCAGCTGTGCATGTGTTCTCTTCATCCTCTGACATGGGAGCTGGCTCGGAGCTCGTTTGCCTGACTGTGTTTCGTGGACGGGGCCGCCTGTGGAGCTAGTTGACAGTGTCTCTTGAACCCCAGCTGGCCTTCGAGTCAATGAGTCGATGCAATCAACTGGTTTTCCTTAGGTAGAAATCTTTGAACCAATCTGACGGTATGATCGGGCTGAATTGTCTCTTTAAAGTGCCCTGAGATGACATGTGTTGTCACTGAATTAGTTACACCACTCTGTGTTGCTAACTTTCCAGGCTCAAAAAGTTTCAGTCTAGACAACTGGACGTGAAGTATTCCTCTCATCCAAGACGCTTCTTTGGTTCTAACTAGTGGTGGGGAGGTCCTCATCACTAGTTAGAGCATGACCAAGCTTCACCATGACCTGGATGACAGAGAATCTTCAGAGACATGCGAGAGTGCAGCTTTTCTTGTCACATGATTAACCTTAAACTGCATAATGCTGGCTGGCAGAGAAGCTTTGCAAAGTAAAAGCCATGATCATTTTTAACAAACACTTCTAAATATAGAGGCAATGCTACACTAGGGTATTTCAGAAAACTGGATCAGTCATATATTCGTTCAACTACCACTAAATAAAATGATTAGCCTGAAGGAAAGAATGAAATGCAATCCTCTGGATGACTTACCAAGGTGATGCATGTAAAAGCACATAGGTTGTGCTAACTAAAACTCTCAATGTTAAATGCTTTGAAAAGACTCAACTTTAACCATCCTCAGTATCAGTAAAATGTTTACAGTTAAGTCAGATGATTAACAAAGCTTAAGCAGCTATTGAAAAGCGACTGCATTTTTCACATAACATATTGTGCAACTTTAAGGTTTTTATCACAGAGTTGTTAAAAACTTAGGCACTTTTCTTTTTTTCATACTTGTATTTGTTACTTTAAATCAAATAATCTTCAGACCCAAAATAAAGCCATCTCCAACTAGAGTGTAAGTGTAATACCAGTTTAAGTTGGTTTGTTACATCCGAGCAAAACACAGATTTCAGAAATCTGGGTTTCTGATATCTAAATCTCTTCTCAGTGCACCACTGCTTATTTTAACTTTAATTATTACTGATTTTGAAAGTTATATAAAATATTGAAATCGGCTTAAACAAAAATTTGTTAACTAATTAAGTTTCCTGAAAAAAATATATTTTCACAAGTAGCTGTAAGGTAAAAAGAGTAGCCTAAATGTATGAATGAAAGGCTAAACAATAAATCAAAGGATGAATAAACACTCAGAAGCTCTGTTTAACTGGATAAGCACCAGTGTTAAACTCACGTTTGTTCCATTGGCCAGTGTGGGTCTTCCTCTATCCTCAGTGGTTCTTCAAAGTCTGCAGCGGTTCGACCCTGCAAACAAACAGAAATCAGCAACAGCTGCACCCGTCACATTTCACTAAATCTCCACCAGCCATTGGCCAGAAGTCAGAGACATTAGCTACATCTCGCCCATTTAACAGCTCTGTTATATGAATTCATATTAAAGCAATCAACCTAAAGAGGATTATTTTCTATTAAAAAATTTTTGGGCAACAGCTCAGTGTCCAGTATTAAAAATCATGTCAAGGAGTTTCAGCCAAAAATCCTAACTTAAAACAGACTCAAACAACTCCAGTAGAGATGCATTTTGAAAAAGAGCTAAATTATCAGGAACTTCAAAAGCACACAAAGCTCGAGGGCAAATTGTACTGCTTCCTACCAATTTATTGGCATATCATTAAAAGAAATTCAGCTATCACAGCAAAAATATTTTGAAGCCAAACTTTACTATGTTTGTCCAACTGTGAGTTAGTAAAGAGAAAAGCTGGGGTCTGTTCCCAGTGTTATTTTTTCACAAAACGTTTTTATCTTTTTGATATTGCTAATAGATGGATAGGTATTTTCCCATTGTCTTTTCCAGTTTGATTAATATTTAAGTGGCATTGGAGTCTCTGTCATCATATTTACACCCAAACAATGTACAAACTTTTGGGTTGCTAATTTAAAATTCCTTACTAACCCAAAAATATATACATTTTTGTAAAAAGATTCTTAGAGGTGCTAGAAATGGTTCCACATTGTTTTTTAACGCAGATTCTGTGTTAAATGTTGGTGATATTCTCCTTCTGCAAAAAACAGAATTATTTATATTTTCAGGGTGTTAGATGTGGAGGGAGCTGAATCTAGTGAAGTGAAGCAGTTTAGTCAACATCACAGCTTTCCGCAAGTTCCATCAGATATATAATGGAGCAAGGCCATTTATTGCTTCACACTCTAACAAGCCTGGAGTGAAACACAGAAAGAATAAGCAGCTCCATGGACGGATATCTTGCCTTGATGTAGTTGATGAAGCGAGAACTGAGAGACGAGCCTCTGTAGCTCATTGGGTCGTTCAGGGCTTCCGTAGGGCTTTCTTCTATAAGATGCACTGAGTCAGAGTTTGGATCCACTGCAATAAAGGAAATGGAAACTGTTAAACCTCTGTTTTATACGAAGTTTATAGGATTATCAGAGGTAAATATATGCTCAACTTGCAGAAGGAAAATTATCAGCTTGCTTCCTTTTCTTTTTGTTCATTAGAAACTGGTGACTTTACTGAGTTAGAAATACAAGGAAGGTTTTGACAAATCACAAACACAAATATCTGTACCAAGCATAGGGCTACAGAGTGCTTAGCAAAACTTTTCAACCCTCCCTCAAGAACTTATATTTTGTTCAAGTTTCAATACATTTTTGCTTGAACACTTCTAACTACAGCTATCGAGAATTTTAGTATTAAGGATTCGTATATTTATTTCGTTTTTTTTTTGGTTACATTTTACAAGAATCTTAAAACCATAATTTATAAATGGTAAAGATACAATTTATAAATAATAAAGAGATAGTTTATTAATAATTCATTCTGTTTTAAACTGCATCTAAATAATTTATAAAAGCTAAATATATAATGTATTAAGGTAAAGTGGTAGCCATTCAAAATGTCCCCACTTTCCTTGATGGGCCCTTGGCTGGTCCTTGGCTAGTCCCCTACAATTCCTTTTTAAACATCAATCATTGCACTAAAATATTCATTCTGTCATGATTTGCGGAAAGTTAGATCAAAAGAGAAGTATCATCTCCTTATCAGACCCTGTGATTCAGTGAAATGGTGGAGTAAAAAAAAAAATGCATGCTCAGAATGCCAGTGGCTGGAAGTTGAAAGGGATTTTGCTGGGAGCTGCAGGGAAGTGGGCAGCCATTAAGCATTTTGAATGGCTGCTACTGTATAAGCACACTAATGTTAGGGCTAAATTAAAATCGCAGGGCACTATAAATAAGTCCTATTAGGTTAGGCATGAAGCCCACTAATGTTATAGTTAAGGATGAACTAAAATGGAAGGGCAAAATTATCTGTTTACAAATATTAATAAACTATCTGTTAATAATTAAAAAACATTGTTGCTTTATCATTTATAAATTGTGGTTATGATGGTAATTGTAAAGGGTTAACTTTTTTTATTAATCTAATGAAAAAAACAAATTTTAGTAATAAACTTTATGAACTTACAAAAACCTTTATTGTATCTTTTAATGAATCAAACATGAAATTAAAATGATCAAATTGTTCAAAACATTGCAACTTAATTGAAAAACCCTACTTGCAAATAAAAAAAAAACTTTTTAAAGCATTTTACTTTGACTAAGCCATCAGTGGCTCAGCTGTGGTGTAGGTCTACAGCACCAAATTCCTGGAGGTGCACATCACATCAAAAGGGCACAGAAGCGCATGTGCTTCTTGTCGAGGACTAGGAGAGCCCACCTGCCCCCACCCATCCTCACCACATTCTACAGAAGCACTATAGAGAGTGTTCTGACCAGCTGTCTCACTGTTTGGTGAACAGCAGAGAAAATCATTGGGGCTCCTCTTCCCTCCATAAAAGACATTTCATCCCAGCGCTGTGTGTCCCGAGCCCTTTAAATCATAAATGACCCCTCACACCCCCACCATGACAAAAGCAAGATCTTCCTGCTAAACCTGTTAGTTTATTGGAAGACCCCATCTCTGTAGGTGTGTAGTTGTGCCATCTTCTTTCCATAATTATATGACATTTATTTCTCCTTTTTTGACAGCTGTATATCATCACACCATGTTCCATTAAAATAGTCGACTATTTTGGTCTATCACAAGGAAATCATAATAAAATGCACCAAATGCTGTGGCTGTAACATAACTAAATGTGTAATAGTTTTGGGGGTAGGTGAACTTTATAAAGGCACCACAAAAAAAAGGGAATGCAAAACAAAACATGAATAAACATAAACTGCATGAAACCAGCTTATTAGTTCAGCAAACTGCTGAAGTAATTCAGTATAAACACTAGAAATAGAAACAGAGAACCCACTTCTTACTCACATCAGCTCCGGAAATGTGCCACTCCATCAGCCTAACCCCATTAAAGCTGATTGGAGTCTATTTAAACAAAGTGTCCCGGGAGCTGCTGCTGTTCCCTGTTAGGCTCCCAACCTAGATCTTGATACCAAGCACAAAGTCTTACAGGACCTGCCCCCCCAATGAAACCAACATACATCTATTCTATCAGTTGACAGGCTTTCAGGATAGGCCCTGGTGAGGGACAGATGACATAAGAATCAAACATCTCATTTACACTGACTTAACATCTCTGAAATCCGAGTGAAACCCTGAAGACACCAAAACAATTACATGCTAAATACTTGCCTGTCATCAAACCATGCCACCAACAAGATTTGATGGGAAATGGCACAGCTCTCTTTGACCAGGATCACTCATTTATAATCTCCCCGCTGTGGATGCCAGGGAGGCTTTGCTGCTTCAGCACCAGTTCAGCTGGTTGTTCTTACTGGAAGCATGAATATGTATTTTCTAGATGAAAATTCTTAAGAATGTTCCACCATCATCTCAGACAACAGAAACTAATCACCTTTTTATTTTTTTAAATTACATGCACAATTGTGTTGCTGATTTGGATTTGTACTTCGACCAGCTGCATTGCTTCCAAATAAAACAGAAAAGAACTTTATTGATCTCACAACGGAGAAATTCACTTGTGACATTGGCTTTTATAAACAAACAGAAGGGGCACAAAGGAGGAAAAGGTGCATGAAGTATATAATGTGCATCCAGATACATACAGTGAATGGTAAAAAAATAAAGAAGGAGAGCTTTAAGGTGACTTAAATATACAGCATCTTATGTACAGTTAAGTGGTGGCAGGTAAAGTGCAGTTTCTGGTTTGTTAAATCTCCTAATCTTCAATTTTCCAACAGGTTCTGAAGGCCTGAGATAAAACCTGGCATTTGGATGTTCATAACTTCCTCCATCTTGACAAGAAAATTAGTTCCAGTCCCAGATATGAAAGCTGCCAGCAACTCTAATCCTAGGTATGGTATCCATTTTGTATGGTCCAGTATGATTTTGGTTTGGTTTGCCATAAGCAGTTTATTTTTACAAACAGAATTGGGAAACTTCACCAGAGCTGGATATTTTTTTTCCATGGAAACAAAAGCCCCTCTGTGGAAGGAAAGGCCTTACATCTATAATCTGTGATATAAATATTATGGGACAGATCTGAACTCCTTAGTCCAGTCTATGAAGAAAACTCCTTCACTAGTAGTGTCAGCCTCCCCTCTAAGTGTCAGTCTCTTCTTGTTACAAAGTTTGGAGAAATTACATGTTTTTATCATGACACTTGTACTGAGAGAGCAGAACTTTATTCAAGGTACATTAGATGTCCTTTCATTAATGGTAGATGTGAACAGAGGAAAACTGAATGCAGTATTTAAAGGTGTGTGTGCTCTCATGCAACCATTATGTTTTTTTGGGTCTGTGTCTTCTTGTGCGCTTTAACTGTTTCAGAACTACCCTCTACCATAGTTGCTGTCCTTCTTACCTGTTAGGGAGCTTATGTGTTCAATAGAGTCATCTTTGCCAATTCCCTCTTCCTCTGTAATGTTACTCATTGGCACGTTGAGACTCAGACTATCTTCATCTGAAGGCTGCAGGAAATGAAGCCAGCAATAATGTTAAGGTCATGTATTAAAATGGAAATGAAATAGTCAACCAAACTAACTTAATTCACAAGATTATGTCTTACTATTATGAATGATTATATTACAAAAGGGAAAAATATAAACATGAAAGAAAAAACAAAGCTTGGTTTTATAATTTTTTTGGTAATATGCTACAGCTTAAAACTGAATACTTTGGATATACCAAGATGTATAGATACATTACACCCATAAAATACTTAAAACATTTGGTTTGATGGTAGATGAAGCTAAAACAACACTCAAGCATCTAAATAACTTTGTTTATACTTTTAATCCCATTCACAGTGTGACTTGAGCATTAGTAAGGAGAACAGAGGCAGTTTGGGAGCCGGTACGTGTTTTGGGGCGAAACGGGTGACAATGCGACCTAGTGTGGCTACTGTTCACGGATCCCCATGGTTATGGATTATATCTGCTGTCAGGAGGCTGAATTGGACCGTACTGTTCAGCCAATTATGCTTTACCAATGTTTGGATATTTAGATCGCTGTGCTGAGAGCTGGAAGTTTTGGACATGTTCCTGAATAATCCCCAAGCAGATACATAGAGCAGCCTGACATTTCAGAAATAAAGTCCACAGGATGGTGAAGGAGAACATGGACCTTAGGGTAGCATGGATAGGGAGAATCCTGGCTCCAAAACTGCCTCTTCTCTCCTTCCTACAGCTTTACTCACGGTGAACAGGCTTAAAAGCATAAGCAATGTGATTTAGAAGCTGGAGGGTCCTTTCATCTTCATCCTTCATTAAACCAAATGCTTTAAGCGCTTTTTCGTCACCGTTTGAGGTACTGCAACATGGCGGAGCCTTTAGCAAAATCTTATAAATCAAAAATTTGTTTTTCATTTACATTGTTCACATTTGTAATATAATCACAACATGACAATGGTAAGACACAATCTTGTGAATTAAGTTAATCTGATTGACCATGTTATTTCCCCTTAAAAACATCCAAAAACCTTTTAAAATATTCAGCGTTAATGTTACAAAAAAAATCTGTTTTTCACATGGACCAATAGACCTTAGCATCTCCTTACATTACCATATTACTTAATAACATTTTACTTAATACATTCTGAAGCTATTGAAGCAGTTTCTGAATCTAAGGTAACACAATGGAATGCAAAGTGATCACTTAATGTAAATCTGAGACTTAACTTTCAGAAACCTTGCATTAGTGAGCAGGAAGAGAAGTGGAATCTTCAAGCTAAATTATAACCCAATAGGAAATAAGCATACTGTAGCATGACGTGTAAGTATAAACTGATAAAAGCAGACATATGTAAGCATAGAATCACAGTGACAGCTTGCGTAGACAGAGTTACACATAAAAACATGGAGTACCTCGGTCGCAGACAGCCTCTTATCTCCGTTATCGCTGCCGACTCCAGAGTCGCTGTCCTGCTTCCTCTGCTGCTCCATGTCCTCCACACTGCAGACAAATTACACAGGTTACACACCTGACACACACACCCACAGGGGTTTGTGTGTCTGAATGAGTACAACACACTGAACAGAGAGACCTTTCCTTCTTTGTGTTAGTCCCAAACTTTCCTTTAGGATTTCTCTTTTCTTCACACGGCTTTATTAAAATGATAAAAAGCTGACCTTTCCCCATTCTATTAGATTTTTTTTATTTTAGTTTTATTTCATTGAGCTCTCAAGATTAAATCATTTCAATATTGGCTATATGACATAACATAATATTTTAGTATTTTTACTTATTGTATTTGTTTTTCATTCTTTTGTTCTAAAAGTTTCTTGAAATGCTTGCTTGCAGGTTTTGCTTGCAGGTTATCTCAGACTCTTATTTAATTTACTGTTTGGTAAATTATAACAAGTTATTTTATATCAAAAACTTTCTTTTTCCCTCTTATTTGTTTTCAAGAGGCATACACATGGTTGGTTATTAACACATAATTAAGCATGCTTTGTAAATTGATTTTATAAGACAGGTTGGATCACATTAGAAATTTCTTCCTTCTACACCTTTTCAATCAAAACCTTTGTAGCTGTACATATCAAAATGTGACATGTACATTTTAAACTGCTATTTAATGGAACGACTCAAAACCTTAATGGAAAAATCTTTAAACCAGGCGCAGTTTAGTGTCCATAGTGGCTCATCTGTTTTCTCTACAGTATTCTGAGAAGGTGGTCATTTAATTTTTTGACCATGTAAGGTAAATTCCTACATTTAAAGGGGAATGCTGTTTTTTTTTACATTGGGCCCTTGATTTCATGTTATTACATCATGTTCTAATCATCCATATGAGTTTTGTGTCATTTGGAGCCTTTCTGAAGATATTCCGTTAGGTTATATCCAAGTAACGTCTTCCTATGGGCACAAACTAAACTGTTCATAATATATCATTTATGGTACACCAGCATTCATAACATGTAGGCGAATCACTGTCCCCCAGACATCCACGCTTATATTTTTTATATTTATATTTTTTTAAAACAAAGCGGAGTGTGTATGACATCATCCGCGCGCTGGACACGCTGGAGTTGTGACAGGCAGCCCGGGCCACAGGCGGCTACGCTCTATCCCTTATATTATTCTGCTAGCTAATTTGAATCGTGCAATTCCATTTCAAGAGCGAGATCATCTGTGGTAGTAGCACTAGACATCTTCCAGGCATGTGAGTAAAACTAGCAGCAGTTCAGCGGACAGGAAAAATGAATGGTAGCCGTCGGACGCGGAGGACGTCATACACACTCAGCTTTGTTTTTAAAAGATATAACTATAAAAAATATAACCGCGGATGTCTGGGGGATAGTGATTCGTCTACATGTTATGAATGTTGGCGTACCATAAATGATAAATTATGAACAGTTTAGTTTCTGCCTTCAACTTGTTTGCCCATAGGAAGATGTTACTTGGATATAACCTAACGGAATATCTTCAGAACAGCTCAAAATGACACAAAACTCATATGGGTGATTAGAACATGATGTAATAACGTAAAATCAAGGGCCCAATGTAAAAAAAAACTGGTGTCCCCCTTTATCCTGAAGTGGTAGAGCATTCCTCAATGCTTTTTGGCCGAGGATTGTGGTCTTCTTAAATCTGATCCAGCAACACAAGACAGTAACTCAAGAATGAATTCCAATATAATTACTTACTCCAAATAAGACTATGTATATATCATACCATTAAAAATCATCTCTCACTGCTACAAAGTAGGGGTGGAACGGTTCACAAAATCCACGGTTCGGTTCGGTTCACGGTTTCGTGGTCACGGTTTTCGGTTCGGTATCTGTTGATTGTTACACCGAAATCTCATAAAAATTTATGAAATTAATGAAAAAATCCAAAAAAAAATAATGAATTGTAATTATTTTTAATGATCCGGGGAAACCCTGGATAATTTCCGCATGTTTTGTTGCTTTGAATTTAATCATCTTGCGCATTCCCTCTACGATCTCCAAGGAACTCAGAGCGGAGCGGACGGGAGCCACAGTGGAGGCTGTAGGCTTTGCTTTGCGCAGGCGGTCTGGTGCGCAGCAGGGCGGAGAGCTGACGGAGTATGTGGGATTTCGGGGTTGGCATGACATGTTGGTCATTTTGCTGTTAGCATAAACAAAACGTGTTGCACAATGTTGCACTTTTATCCACAACTTTCTTTCCGCCGTCATCGTAGGTTACTCTAAATGCAAAGTGGTCCCATACAGCAGACCTATAAAGTGCTGCTGGCGCGTTTTCTAACTCCTGAAAAAAAACTGTTTTTTTTCTGCTACACCCAGCTACGCTGCTTTGCTTCTTCTTGTTTACTACTGGTGGTTGGCTTTGGTCGCAGTACCGCCACCTCTGCTCTGGAGTGTACACGCTTCGCCGATGAGAAAAAGGAGCAGCGCATGAACCGAACGAAACACACGTGAACCGAACCGAGACAGTCGAACCGAACAGTTCGGACCGTTTTCAAAAACCGTTCCATCCCTACTACAAAGCCCCTCCCCCCAAGACAGTTCCAAGGCAATCTCACAGAACATGCAGTCCTGCGGCCACGGTGTTTAAGGAGAAAAGCGACTGCATCATACCTGGTTCTTTCTCTTTGGGGACTGATCTCTGGTCCGTTCATATCGGAGAGGAACTAGCATGGAAGGCCCCATGTTAGAAGCAAAAACTGCAAACTGATAAACGGCTAAAGGCCAATTTATGCTTCTGATGTATAGCCTCTGGATCTGTCGGTGCGCACCTCTAAAAAAAACCTGACTGTACGTCGGAAGGTCGCAAACCCACACAGACTTTGAGCGTAAGTACGCAGACAAAAAGCAGCTGTGATTGGTCCTTGGTATGCCTTTCCGGCTGTCTGTGTGGTTGTCCTTCTCGATTTTTAAAAACCAACGCGCCATTCTTAAAAACCAAGGAACAACTACAATGGACAACTATGACCAAAGGTTAATCTGTCTTTTTGCCAACTCCATTAACGGCACCTGTTCCTCTTCGATGTCTAGCAACTCTAGATCCATCTCCGTGACCGTGAAATCTTGCAGACGCGCCATTGTTGTTTTGGAAGATAAACACTCCCGCCGGCACTGCAGAAATTCTCGCGGGTTCACGAATAGGCTCCCCCTTTAGCTTTGGCAGGAAACTGCTGTACGTCCCTAGAAATTCCAGACTGACGGTGCAAAAGCATACCAGCAAAACTGGTTTGCGAACAGACCAAAGCGAGATGTGATGTGTGCGGTTGCAGAAGTATAATCTTCTCTCAAGTCGACCAGGTGGCTGACATCAGAATCAAATTGCTGCTGCAAAAAAAGTGTTTGCTCTCATTGAGTTACAGGACTTTCAGGTGCAAGAGGCTGGTTGTTTGGAGCCTCTGAAAACAAAGAACTTTGCAGATGTGTGGGAACTAGCTGGAACAAAAAAACTCCTCTGCTCTTGTATGCTATGCTAAGCTGGTGGACACTGCAACTCAGCCTTTTCTAAAAGGGAGATCAACAAAGGCAGAGGTCTGGCACATTTAGAGATACATTTTACAGTAAAACACTTTGTTTCTTTGATAAATTTTGATAATTTCATGTGTTTACTGTTGACTAAAACAAGTTATAAAAATGGACCGCATAGAATGTTATGCTGACATGTTTGAGCTGTTGTTCATAAAGCTAAAACAAGCTTTATTTTACTAAGGGTTTAAATACCAACATAACTTTAACATTCATGTGTTTTCTCATACGCTCATTGAATTTTGATAACCAAATTATAACCAAAGATCATTTAATGGGAGTCCTCATGCTTGCTAGCTACTAGCTCAAAGAAAGAAAGTTCAGAATTCAGACAGATCTCCCAAGAGCTGTGAGTGAGTAAGATGGCATTAGACTGGTAGTAAACAAAACAGTATAAAACCGTCTAATTTAGCTGTAATTCAGGTAAAACAAATCAATGAATGTAAACCAGGGATATAAACCCTATCAATTCCACTTTCTTAAATTTTTCTACTCAAACTGGATGAGGAAACTTTGGAGAACCTATACATATAGAAACAACAACAACACATCTACCCTCCACCTGGTTTTAAATACACAGTAATCCAACAGGCAACAACAGTACACAAAGCAGGAGGGGTGCTGGCATGGGGTCTTTCACTACTCTGTTGTCTCTGCTCCACCTTGGGATGGGGCTGGGCCTTCGGGGTTGGTTACAGCTTGGCTGGGGTTTCTAGCTCTCCTTAGGCTCTCCAGCCTTTTGATTCCATATGGCCTTAATGTCTTTTCCGTCTGCTTGGATGGGGAATGATGGTTCCTGACATTGGCTGGGGTCTGGGACATTGGAGGGTTTGGCCCCATCCTTGCTGGAGAGCCGACTGGCTGGTGTGGTTGTAAGGCAGGTGGTGTGGGTCTGCCTGCTCTGATCCTGCGAGCGGCCTGTGCCTACAGTCTGGTGGGGGGACACTGCAGGCATGTCGAGTGCCTGAGGGGTTGGACCGCCTGGGTTGTGATTGCCTCGCAGCTATGGATATGGGAAGACCATACAGATGTGGGGGCCTGGAATGGCTGTGACTGGCTTGGGGTGGGGTGTGCTCTTCGGTGGGTTGGCCTCAGTCCCCTGCGCTCTCTTCTGGGTCCACCTTGGGTGTGACCATCTGCTGCAGCCCCATGGGACGTAGGCACAATGGCCTCTGGGGTCGAGTCTCTTTGGGGTTTGGCCCCTCATGTGTCTGGGGCTGAGATTGCTTCTGCCTCTATATGCCCAAGGACTGCTAAAGGTCCTTCACCATATGTGGTGAGTCTGGGGCCGCCCACACCTGCTATTAAACATATTTATTTTCTGAAGAAGATTTGCAAATCATTTATACAAAAACATGCCCATGCTTACATACCACAGGAGTTTGGTTCAAGGTACTCACAGATACAAACTAATGCTCAAAGCTAAGCTGCAGCAACAGACATAAACCACCCTGAATAATATTGTGTAATCACCATAGGTTTTGCTTTCTAAACACATAGATATCCAAGGGATGTTGGTTGGTGTTTTCAAGGTAATATGGAGAAAAACTGAAATAGTTCCTGGTGATGTTCTATGTACTCAATTCATGAGAGGCCTAGGTCTGCTGCACTACCCCTATAGACTACTTTGAATTTGTCTATAGAAGCTAGAGCTCTAAAAAAAAGAAGAAAAAAAAAGAACATTTGGTCATAAATCTCTGATTGGTTTATCTCTATGTTAGATTGGTTCTTTTACATAAAAGAGATAATTATCACATATCTAATTAACATAGTGAAACAGAACCTACATGTTAAAGTTATCGATACAGACCCCGGTGGGCACTTTTTATGAAATAATAATTGAGTTTCTCTTCATTTAAAAAAAAGAGCATTGAAATACTTCTATACTTATATACTTAATATAATTAAATTAGAAGTAATGCGTCAACCGTTTTCCTGCTAAAAGGACATTTGAAGTTGGTGTTTCAGGAGTGAATCAGATAAGGACATTTAAGAAATCATGCATAAAATCTCAACTAATTTCATGTTGAAGAAAGTCAATGTTACCCCTGCTGTTGAACTACTTTAAAATGGTACTGCTACTGTCAGGTGGGCATGTTTAAAGTTTTTTCGATAAATATAGCCAGGGCTGCAACTAACAATTACTTTGAAAATCAATTCATCTATCGATTAATAATCGTATAGCAAATGGTTCCATAAACAAGACTTTTAACGAAATTAAACCAGGTGAAACTCAAATGTTTCCACTTGAGGAGTTCTGGATAGAGCATATTGACAGATAAAAATAGTCTGTACTCCAGTTAACGATTATCTGATTACTAAATTGGTCTACGTTTATTTCAATAATAGATTAATCATGATTAGTGTGATTATTGTTTCAGCCCTGAATATAACTTATCATAAATAATTAGGACATATAATTGTGTCTGGGTTCTCAGGACCGTTACTTTGTCAGCTGTAGAAATTAGGCCTTGAAGAAAGAGCGCAGACCCACAAAGAAGGAAAAGGAAAAGAAAACTTCCAACTGGGTTACATAGAAAAATTAATCCCATTGCATTTACCTGCCGGTGTAGGGACGGGGGAAACTGAGTCGCTCCATAACTGGGAGGTACAGAGAGTCAGGCATCTTCTCGCTGCGACAAGCCTCGAGGCTCAAATACTTGAATATGTGGACTTTACCCTTGATACAGATCTGAAGATGGAAATAAGAGCGAGAGACTTATTAAACTGGTCAGAAGTGGGTAATAATTTATCGACTTGTAATCAGAACGTTTGGCAGTCCCCCTCCCATCAGGTCCTGAACAATAGAATCGTTGTTCCACTTTCTCTAAAATTCACCAAAAATAGTTTAAAATGTTTGTTATATTCATTACTTCATATTGACTGTCTGGTCAATATTTGTTTATGTCCAATTTTGCTGTGAATTTGTTTAGAATGCTGGGTTTCTATTTCACATTTATCATTTATATTTTCACGCATTTAATTGACAGCTACTTATGAGATTTTTTAAAATACTTGACTGTTTTATTTGCAATTTGATTTTATTCATGTTATTTCCTTATTTATATGTTTTCACACAATTCTTGTTGTTGGAGAAAAAGGACACAATTTGGCTGATTTAAGTCTTCTAACTTTTATCGATATTATGCTCTTCCCAATGGTATATTTAGACTAAAATGGGGTAAATCTAAAAAAAAAAAAAAAAAAAGACTGAATGAAACCCATGCCACGGAAATAAGCACTTTCATGTGACCAGATTGGTTTTTTTTATGCGGTAAAAACACATTTTGGCCACTTTTGGAACATCTGTGTCAAAATCACAGTTCAAAACCATACCAAAACATACCATATTCATGAAGCACTTTCAACACCCAACAGGACCAAAGTGCTATACACAATAATAAAATAAAAATAATCAAGCATAAAACATAAAGACGTGTATAAAAATAGTAATAAAATAAAAGAAACACAGTAAGACAAAGTCAATATATCAGATTATGTTAAAAGACATGGAAAAGAAATGGGTCTTAAGAAGAGATATAAAATCAGAAAGTGATGAGGCCTGTCTAATGGCCAAGGGAACGTCCTTCCAAAACTTAGGGGCTGTGACAGAAAAATGGAGGTATATGCAATTTAGTATTTTCTAGAGTGAATCTGCCAATGATCTGATAATACAATTCTATTATCCTGTTCGCCTAGAATTAAGGAAAAAGCTAAATTGGGTCCTCTTATACTGATCTGAGTATGTACCTGTGCAGGTGGACTCTGCAGCGGGTTGTTTTCCAACTGCAGTGACTGGAGTTGCCTCATTTTTCTGTAACACACAGGGATGGTGGACACCTTGTTGCATGAAAAGTCAAACTTTACCAGCGGAAGATCAGCCAGGTCTACAAGATGACACAAACACAAAAAATATGTTAAAATCAGGCAACACTTTGAGCTACCACGTCTTTATATTTTGTTTCAATAAGAATCATGATCATTTCTATCAGGATTCATTTTTGTCACAAAAAAAAGCAACTAAAAAACGAGTGAATAATGGCAAGGAAAAAAAAATCACTTTTGTTCATCAAAATAAATTAGATCACTATAGCAGACTGGAATAGCTACTGTATGCTGCTCTGTAAAGTGTTAATACCATTTGGACCCAGACATACAGGCAAATGTATAATATTTGACATGTGTATGAGTATACACTAAGGGTTAGGTTATAAAAAAAACGAAAAAAACAAGTTTTAAACAACTAAATGAGGTCCTGTTAAATCAATTGTTTAAAATGTAAACACCTACAGTACTAGTTGTAAATTTTGTAACTCTTTCAGCACAACCCTTATGCTGAAAGAAAGCCACAGGAACTGTATTCACTTTAGGTCTGAGCAATGTGGGGAGACAGGAGCAGATGAAAGAAGGGTCAGAACAAAATGTAAGTAAAAATTTTGGCAAACATGCAAAGCACTATATGTGGCAGAATATTAGCACTGCACAACAGACCGAACACACCATCCCCTCTTCGAACTACAACAGTGGCACTAGCTTAGTAGGGGAACCCTTTTTTCAAGTGAAGCTGTTCTGTTTATGTTTTAATGTACAGTGGGTCAGAAGGTATTCAGACCCATTTAACCCTGTAAAACCCAAATATAGAAAAACACAAAAAAACTTTTTTTCAGCCACTCAGATGTTGTTGTAGGAGTCCTTTGAGGCTGAAAATGAAGTGTTTTAAAAAATGTTATGTTTTAGCAAGTTTTTACAGAAATTTTGTAATATTGCGACATTGGGCCAAATGGGGAGCAGAATTTCCTGTATTTGTACTCATTGTCTGAACAACAATACATAACTATGGATTAATTTGCAGGGTTTGGCTTTTATCCCTGAACAGTATAGCATGAAAAATAATCTCAGTCATGTTTTTATGAACATATTTGAACATATTTGAAAAGAGAATAATCAATATTGTTCACTCTTTGTTTCATTGCAGCCATCTGGTAAAATAGAAAAAGTTAACTTTATTTCCCATGAATGTACACTCAGCACAATATCTCAACAGAAAAAAAAAGACAAATATCGAAATTTTTGCAAATTCATCAACAAAGAAAAACTGAAATGTCAAATGGTCATAAGTATTCAGAACCTTTGCTGTGCTGTCCATTTTATTCTCATCCTCCTTGAGATGGTTCTGCTCCATCATTGGAGTCTAGCTGTGTTTAATTAAACTGATGGACTTGATTAGGAACGGCACACACCTGTCTGTGTTAGACCTTACAGCTCACAGTGCATGTCAGAGCAAACGAGAATCATGAGGTCGAAGGAAGTGCCCAAGGAGCTCAGACACAGGATTGTGGCAAGGCACAGATCTGGCCAAGGTTACAAAATAATTTCTGCAGCACTCAAGCTTACCAAAAGCACAGTGTCCTCATTAATCCTTAAATAGAAGAACTTTGGGACGACGCAAACTCTTCCCAGACCTGGCTGTCCAGCCAAACTGAGCAATCATGGGAGAAGAGCCTTGTTGAGAGAGGTAAAGAAGAACCCAAAGATCACTGTGACTGAGCTCCAGAGATGCAATAGAGAGATGGGAGAAGGTTCCACAAAGATAACTATCACTGCAGCCCTCCATCATTTTGAGCTTTATGGCAGAGTGGCCCGATGGTAGTATCTCTTCAGTGCAAGATATGAGAAAGCCTGTATAGAGTTTGTAAACACATTAAGGACTTTCAGACAATAAGAAAGTAGATTCTCTGGTCTGATGAGACCAAGACTGAACTTTTTGGCATTAATTCTATGCGGTATGTGTGGAAAAACCAGGCACTGTTCATCACCTTCCCAATACAATCTCAACAGTGAAACATGGTGGTGGCAGCATCATGCTATGGGGGTGTTTTTCAGCTACAGGGACAGGACAACTGGTTGCAAGAGAAGGATAGATGAATGCGGCCAGCTACATTATATATCCAAGAAGAAAACCTCTTCCAGAGTGCTCAGGACCTCAGAGTAACCCTTCCCTTCACCTTCCAAAAAGACAGTGACGCTAATCACACAGCTCAAATAACAAAGCAGTGGCTTGGGAACAACTCTGTGACTCTTGAATGGCCCAGCCAGACCCATGACCTTAACCCTATTGAGCATATCTGGAGAGACTTGAAAATGGCTGTCCACCAATGCTCACCATCCAACCTGACAGAACTGGAGAGGATCTGTGAGGAAGAATGGCAGAGGTTCCCCAAATCAAGGAGTGTAAAAAAACTTGTTGCATCATTCCCAAGAAGACTTGGGGCTGTTCTAGCTCAAAAGGGTGCTTCTACTCAATACTGAGCAAAAAGTCTGAATGTTAAGACGATGTGATATTTCACTTTTTCATTTTTGAACTTTATTGATTTATGTAAATGGCTGCAACAAAGTGAAAAATTTAAGGGGGTCTGAATACTTTCCATAATAACTGTAGCTGGATACTGGAAAATCCTTGAAGAAAACCCATTAGAGGCTGCAGACATAGAGCAGAAATCCTTTTTGTTTTGTTGGTTTGGACGGATGGAAAACTGCTCTATAGCTTGCCCCTTTTTTGATTTACATGTAATCACTGTGTATTTTACAATATACACGCACCGTTTAAAATAACAACAACACAAGAACCTTTTGGCATAGACCATGGGATGAGAAGTGAAAATGAATGAATTAGAAAAATATTAATAATGCTTCAAATAATTCCACAAAAAAGCGTCTTAAAACACTTAATAGCCAATTAAAAGCTATCAACTTACATTTAAAAATCCAATGGGAATATTTTTTTGTAAACAAATACTATAGTATCCGCCAGAGTTAATCCTTATATTCACTGAGTCAGCAGAATACTTTCTATATAAACTGAGACATAGTTGGATCACTGAATGATATTTACTTTTGTTTGTTTTAACCATCCATCCATCCATCCATCCATCCATCCATCCATCCATCCATCCATCCATCCATCCATCCATCCATCCATCCATCCATCCATCCATCTTCCTCCGCTTATCAGGGGTCGGGTCGCAGGGGCAGCAGCTAAAGAAGGGAGGCCAAGACTTCCCTCTCCCCAGCCACTTCTTCCAGCTCTTCAGGAGGAACCCCAAGGCGTTCCCAGGCCAGCCGAGAAACAGTCTCTCCAGCGTGTCCTGGGTCTTCCCCGGGGCCTCCCCCCGGTGGGACGTACCTGGAACACATCACCAGGGAGGCGTCCAGGACGCATCCTAACCAGATGCCCAAGCCACCTCAACTGGCTCCTCTCGACGTGGAGGAGCAGCGGCTCTACTCCGAGTCCCTCCCGGATGACCGAGCTTCTCACCCTATCTCTAAGGGAGAGCCCAGCCACCCTACGGAGGAAACCTATTTCGGCTGCTTGTATCCGCAATCTTGTTCTTTCGGTCATGACCCAGAGTTCATGACAATAGATGAGGGTAGAAAGGTAGATCGACCGGTAAATCTCGTTTGTTTTAACCATGTTTCTAAATCTATCACCCAAAAAGGTTCAGTTCCGCCTGATGGCTTAGTAGCATTGGATGATGTCATGGTTGATGCATTTCCTGGATTTATATATCACTTATTAAAAAGCAAATGAGAATGTGTCTTTTTTTGTCTTGTTTGAAAGTCAGCTCCTTAAGTTTGAAAAATCCTATGACATTTGAGAAATTTTTAGTAAAAGGCAAACATCAGACAACACTTAAAATATGTGCTTTGAGTTTCTCCAGATGAACTAGGGACAATTGTGTTTCTCTCAAAGTCACCAATCAGACCTTAAAACTAGACGTTGATCCATGGCAAAGGTTTAGGTGTATTTTAGGAATCTTAGAAGGGCGTGGCAGAGCAAACACTAGACTGTGGTCTAAAATGAGCCTGTCTCCTCCAAAATTAAAGCTACATTTTAAAAAACACAAAGAAAAGACAAATAACTGTAACTAAAAATAACCTCAAAGGGACCAAACTCACCTTCTGGCAGGACACAGAGAAGATTTCGCCGAACATTGAGTTCCTTCAGGGCTTTAAGCCTGCTAATGTGTCGAGGTAGAGCCGTGATCTCATTACAGCTGATATCCTGAGAAAAATGAAACAGCAATTTAGACAAAATGTAAATCGCTTCACACAAAATTGTTTTAAGTTTCAACTCATAACTCTACAGGAAAACCTGGGAGAATTGGTTGTAAACTCAATACAACACTAAATCTTAAATTTCAGTTTAAAAGAAGAGGCTTAAGGAGCCCAATATATCGAAACTGCAGAAATAGTTTCATAGGTCATCTTAATATAGGGGAAGATATTAAGTAAAATTTGCATTTTTTTATCTCATTTGTTTGTTTGTTTTTACTCTTGACACCTTCCTTATCACTGGTACCCACAGCAGGTCATTAATAATACTCATCAAAGCTGTCACGGTTTTAATGCCCTCCCTGTCGCAACCAAAATTTGAACCCAGGTCCCTCTCATGGTAATGGTAATAGCATGGTTAGTATACTTACATTTACTGTTATATTTATCTAATGAACCTGAACCTAATTTTTTAAAAACTTTTTTGACTGATCTCATATAAGGATTAGGAGCTTTTGCTTCGATACATAAATATTTGAACTTGATCTTCCTTCATTTACTGTTAGATTTAAAACAATCACCTCCATCAAGGAAGCTGCAATAAATATTATTGTCTTCTTATGCATTACTATCCAATCAGAAAGCTTAAAAATAAGAATGAGCAGATTATAATTTTGAAACAATTAAAATTCTATACTCACCAGAAAAATGCTAAATCCCTAATTGCACACAATTTCTGGCCCAGACTCACATCAGCGAGAGAATATATCCAGCTCTAAAAAGGTAGCACTAAAATACCACCGTATACATAATTTTTGTAATCCCAGAGAAATGTTCACCATGCTCTTCTGGAACTGCAACGTACAGAGTGAATCAGTCTTACCAGTTCCATGAGGCCGTGCAGCTGCCCAATGGTCTCCGGTAGGTTCACTAGCTTGTTGTTGCTGGCGTTGAGGACCCTCAGAGGTAGACCACAGAGACATGACGGCAGAGAGCCCAGTTGATTTCGACTATAAAACAAAAACACACATCGTTCAAACAGAAATAGAGGAAAACGACTAAGAAACCCCTAAAGGTGTGACTTATGTCACAAATCATGAATGCAACTGAAGTTTAAATCACAGTTTTTATTGTTGTCTAAATCTGAGACAAGAAATCCAAATGGCTTTCATTGTTTTTTTTAAGGAACACAGCATTTAAATATCCATTTGCAAAAATAAATGCGAAGATACAACTGGAGCTAATTAACATTTCAGTTTAAACCCTCAACTAATTATACTGAGAATTAAACAATCATAGAAATATAAGTTTAACAATATGTGTTAATGAGGCAGACAATATAAGATTGTCTTCCTTCCTTCTACGGTTCTTTATTGGTTTTAAGCTGTATTGTTTGTGTTCTTTTGATGTAATGAATGAATGAAATACATTTTTTTTATAAAAAAAAAAAAACTTGTATAACTAAAATAAGGCATAAGCACAGAAATACATCCATAAATAAAATGCTGACCAAATATGGACATTTTGCAGTGTGGAAGCTCTCCTAACCAAAAGCGGTGAAATGATTAGGACTACACAGTCATAGTCAACTATATCTCACAAGGTCTGGGGTGTGAAATATTTTGTTATTAATTTGATGCACTCCATTACAGGTTATGGTGCCAGTTCAACGTGCATTTTATAGACCATGCAAATTTTTTGAAAGTTTTTATAATTGTCTAAGAGGTAAGTAATTTTGGAGAAGGAAAGCATCTATTTATGTTGAGGTTTGATTAAGCTTTTCAATAATTAAGAGCTTATCCAGTACTACATACAAATATTTAAGTACATTTATAGCCTTGAGTTCTTCCTCATGCAAAATTGAATCCAAGTAAGAAATCATGTTTATTTGCTTTATACATACAAATAATTTTTGATGTGTTAATGAAAGACAAAAAAAATTTGAAAAAAGCCTAAACTTGATATATGTCTACTGTTCAGCTTTTTGATACTTTTTGGTAATTATTAATAGAATAACATTCTTTTTAAATAATAACATTAGGAGGATTATTGATACATAGGGACAAAATGGTGGGTTTAAGTGCAACCTCCAAATATTTACCTCTACCTATGAATCCATCTACTTTGTTTTGAGATTTTGAATTAACTTATTTTGGCTAATAAAATAATGTGGTCAGCTGCAAAAAAAAAAACAAAAAAAAAAACACCTTTATATCAAGAAATTTAGTACTATTTGTACTGAACCCAAACTGTGTATGACTGATATTTGCAAAGCTGTTTTGTCAAATACTGTATGGAACACACAGAATGTGTGTTGATGCAGACTTCTTCCCCAGAGCGAGGAAGAGGTGCACTTATAAGACTTAGGATCACGAGCATGACATCAGGTCCTTTTACTGGGGGCAAGCTTTGCGAATCATTACTTTAGGGAACGATTTGGTTAAATTACTCAACTATGATTCTAATGACATATGTTTAAGAATCGATTAATCACAATTGATAAGCTTAATAATTTCTACTCCAAATTGATCAGATAGCAAATGGAAATTAGAGGCAATTAAATGTCACAGACAGCTCCACACCCATCATCAGCTGCTTTGATGTACATGCCACCTTGTGACAGCTGCTGGCTTTGGTGGTGGCCTCTTTTTCAACAAAATGGTGAGAGTGTGATTGTTCATACCTAAGGTTCAAGGATGTAAGGGACTGCAGGGCGATGATGCTGTCTGGGATGCTTCTGATGCAGTTGTGATACAGGTTTAGGGTCTCCAAGGCAACCAGGTGACAAACCTCTGAGGGGATGTCACTGAGCCGATTCTTTGAGAGGTCTGCGGAGAAAACAAATTGAATAAATACAAGCTAGGAAAACACTGGAAGAAAACAGCCAAAAAATGTATTGGGTCAACATGAGATTTTTTTTTTTTTTTTACATTCCAATATTATGTTTGGATTATAGGAGATTTAGTTTTTTTTTTCTTTCTTTTCAGGCTATGAACATTTTGCAGAGCTAAAAAAAATGTGTTTTTTTGTTGGTTTACAGGTTTGACATTAAAATGCTGCTTTTGATAGGTTTGCAGCTTTCAAGACTCAAACAAATCCCAAAGTTTTCAGCCAGTGTGGTTTGAAAGGTTCACAGCATCTAAATTACTCTCTGATGACCATCCAGGAGCAGAATACAATCTCCCTTAGCAACAAAACAGCTCACTATGAGCCTACAGCTCGGGAAGATGAGACAAACAGTTCACACCAAGTGTAATGATCTCTGCTCACTTTAATAACAACCAGCTATCTGCTGGTATAAATTAAAGAGTATGGATGCTTCTAATGCTTTAAAGGACTTTCTTCAACGGTTTTGTTACCAATGAAGCACAATCAATTACTTTTTCCGAAACCTGTCTATCATTACAGAAGACAAGTGCACAGAAATCTGAGGAGAGCTTGTCATTATGATGCTGCTATTTCGCATCATACATTCACTCACAGGCAGGCAGCTTATATCTGCCTCTAAGTCGTTGCTGTTTTAATAAGCGACAGAAATAAAATGAATTAGGGTCATTAATTCATCTGCTGTTTCGGTTCTTCTAAAAAGATGTGAGGTAAACTGGAGAGGGCCAGTGAGAACATCATGTCAGCATCGGGGCTGCTGCACAAAACCTCACAGGAAAAAGTCCAGAATTAGATGCATCAGCAGACATGTTCACAAGTCATTTTTTGCAAGTCCAAGTCAAGTCTCAAGTCTTGAGAGCTCAAGTCCAAGTCAAGTCTCAAGTCTTGAGAAGGCCTGTCGCAATCAATTAATCGCACAAAAAATTGTAATCACTTGATTAATTAAAAAAAGTGCAATAATTTTCGTGCTTGCTTGTTTCTCCTTGTGTTTTCATCTCCGTCACTGAGAAGGTATAGCTAAGAGGTCGCTATTATATCTATGGAATTACCATTATCTTGAACTGCAAAATGAAAAATACAATTAATAAAGCACACACGCAAAACTTTTTTCCACATAAATTTCGCATTTTTTTATAAAGAAAAAAAACTATTTTCCTACAGTATTTACCTGACATTTGTGGTTACAACTGTTTCTAGTTTTAGCAGTAAATGTCTGCTTTTTATTTTTAAGTGAAAATGAGGAGTGTGGGGGAAAAAAACAATCACAATCCTGCCTTTTATTAATACATATGAGGTTTGCAACTACAAGAGATAAAGAAAAACCCTAAACAAATAGCAGGACAATAACAATACTTTTATAAAAGGAAGATTGTGGCAATAACTTTTTGTAACTTAATGACTTGGCGGGCAGTATTTTCAATTCAATTCAGTTTATTTATTTAGCGCCAATTTACAACATTATTCACAACATATTTCTCCTCTACCACTGCCATGAAGCTTTTAAAGCTGGGCTTGTCGATCAAAGACAAGGGGAGGTTGCATGAAATAATAAGGTCCTGAATTATTGCCTTATGTCTGTGATGTCCCTGGCTGTACACCTGCACTGCACTGTAGCTGATAAAATTAGATGTGGTGGACCAAGCATCGTGTATTTTTTCTAAAGAAGCTGCAGTTTGCTGCTCTTTTATTCCCGCCTTATGTAAAGTTTTTGTAGCCAAAGGTTATTATTAACGGTGGCACCGAAACAGGGGGGCTAATCATCGCTTCCATATCTGTATGGGTTGCATGCATGCATGCGCACGGGCATATATGTCACGTACTGTTGCGTCAGTGACGTCAGTGTGTTGCACAGGGAAAAATATGATTTATGGTTTTCTTTCATTTAAATGTTAGTTTTATGCTTTTCATGTTTGGCAAGGAAGATATGATTTGTTTTTCTTTGTATTTTCTTCTTGAGCTTTGCATGTTTTGATGTTTCTTTTTTATATGATTGTTTTCCTTTATTTTAGACTTTTGAATTTTTCCTGTATGTTGGGTTGTTTTAGTTTGTTTTTCCCTTGTGACAATCCATGCGCACTGGACTGAAGTAGTTGTCTGAGGAGGCGGAGTGCATTAATTGCGCTGCGTAATTGCTGCGCTCAGGTGTGAGCAAGGGCTGATTAAAGCCGACATAAAAGGAGTCTGAAGGAAAGGAGAACGGAATCTGCAGGTGACAGAGACGGACGCGCTGCCGGGATCCATGCGCCAGGAGGGTGCACAGATGGCCCAGTAAGGAGTATTAGGGCAGAGGAGGAACCTCGCCTGTAAGTAGCGCTCCGCCTCGCTTAAAGCATAAACAGGAATATATCTTCCGACGGGGTTTTGGCGCGTGGATGCTGGCGTTCTCCTTGCTTCTCTTTTTAGCTGGATCGGTCTGGAAAGGGGTGTGGCACGCCAGGGAGTGGAACAGTGCCGGGGCGCCGCAGAGTCAGCTGTGGATCAGCCAGTGGGTGCTCCAGGCCGATCACTCGCACCAGAAGCAGCATAACAAGCGGAGCTCAACTTCCAGCCTCTGATTTTTAAGGAAAACTCTTGAATTTTAGGTTTTATCAGGAGAAGAAAAGGACTGTTTTATTATGCCACTTTTGCTGTGGCTTTTTGTATAAATAAAACACTTGAACTTGAGTGCTTCACGGTTTGGGTCTTTGAGTTGTTTGCTCCCCCTTGTGTCAACGACTGAGTGTGGGGCCATACTGGCCACAAGTGCTACTTTTTTATTTTTATTTTTACCTCTTCTGTGTGCGGGTAAGGCGAGCGGCGATCAGTCAAGTTAGTAAAACAAAAAACACTTCAATAAGTGTTTTTACACTGGAATAAAATATTGTTCACAAGTCAGAAATCACGAGTCTCAGTCGAGTCTGAAGTCCTTCAAATGCAAGTCTAAGTCGAGTCTGAAGTCATTAAATATGCGACTTAAGTGCGACTCGAGTACGAGTCACAAACTCGAGTCCCCATCTCTGTGCATCAGTCGTTAATGTCAGCTTTAAAACATTAAATACTTCGTTTTCGAGGTTTGGAGGGAGGGATATAATAGGAAAGCTGACTTAAGGAACAAACACAAGGGAAGAAATAAAAATTAGACAGGGGAGAAGAAAGAAGAATTGGCAAGGAAGGACAGGGATATGGGGATATGCTAAATCCTACTAAGAAGTAGGATGAAACAGTTGGAAACAGAAAAAAAAAACAGAAATCACAACATATTTGTTTTTTTAAAACAATTTTTTGTATGATACAGCCACTAAGTATTTGAACATCTGTCAAGAATTCTGACCCTCAAAGACCTGTTAGTCTGCCTTAAAATGTCCACCTCCACTCTATTTATTATCCTAAATTAGATGCATCTGTTTGAGGTAGTTAGCTGCATAAAGACACCTGTTGGGGAAAAACCTCATTTCCTCAGTTAGAGCATTAAACATGGGTCAAGGCTGGGTCTTCCAAAAAAAAAAAAAAAACATACATTGTGATTTCGTTTTTTTTTTTTTTTTTTCTTTTGAAGGTTATTTCTGTCAAACTGGACATGCACCTACGATGACAATTTCAGATCCCCCCCAGGATTTCTGAGTGGGAGAACTTTCAAAATAGAAGGTTGTCCAAATACATATTTTCTTCACAGTAGGTAGTAGCTACCAACAGTAGAAAAACACAGCTCGTATCTTTTTGTTATGTTCCATATGTCCAGTGTTATTCACCAAAACAATATTAATTCTGGATCAACCAACCAACCCTGATGAGCTCTGTTAGGTGACGCTCAAAACAATGCTCTTGAGTATGAACGTTGTAAGTGAGATCAGGTTGTTTTATCTTTTTTTAAACTTTTAAACTTGATACATTTGGAAATGTCAGCAGCCTTTTTGGCATAATTACATTCCAATAAAGACTTAAATCAACTGATACCAGAAGACTAAGGAGTTAGCAACACAACCTGCTGATATAAGATATTTTTTAAGGATCAGTTAAACCTTTAGTACCAACCACTCTATTATACATAGTGGGAATTTTTACCTTTTCTGTTAAGAACAACTGCTCACAGCTGAAAAGTGAAAAGAATAGCAATACCGTTCTAATATCAGTCTACCATTGTATCTAAAGGGAAAAATTAACATGTTTGCTGCAACATTCCAGTCAGAATAGCAGTGGACAAATGTATGATTTAGGGAAGTCAGTATTTGTTAAAAGTGCAAGAGCCAGCTGCTCAAGGCCAGGACTGGTGACATCACATCCTGCGTATTTTGGCAGCAACAGCTTCAACTAGACTTATCGGCAGTCGCCAAATAAGGGAGAGAAATGTCATTCCACATTGTTCTGCGGAGGTTCAACACCTCTTGACAAACCCGGTTTGTTTCTTCACGGACAAAGTTTTATTTTCTTTGTGGGCAGCAATCATGGATGAGGTGGGATTTACTTTTTTTATTAAATATTTAAGAGTGTTTTAGTGCAACTGTGCATGACCTTTCAAGACAATGACTAAGCCTTATGTTGATTCTGTTAATGGATAATGGTTACTCGTGCTCAGAGTCAATAGGTGAGAAATAAAAGGCAGTCGGTCCTGCAAGTGGCTACCTGACCAGCAAGGGGCTACCTGACCAGCAAGGCAGGAATCTGCCCCTGCATACTTATCCATGGGAGGAAGACAGAGAAAACTCCCGCAAATCACTAAGCTGCACAAGCTTGCATGAGAAGCTCTGACAAAACAACAACAACAGCAAGGCCAGTGGTGCATTATGGGTGCTGCAGTAACAGGAAGTGATATTTAAAGAGAGATGAATGAGGAACAAAGAGCTTCTCAGCCCCACTTTCATCTAGGCTAATGCGAAACTCACACCAGCATACAGCTATTAATGTTGAAGGGGTGTGTGTGCATGTGTGTTTCTGACTATACTAATAAGAGGCTGATGTGATCCAG